AAATGGCGAAATCATGAAGTGGCCAATTTTAATATTTGACCACATTCGCATTCTTTGTATAGCGTTAGAATTCGTCATTGCCGCCATCTGTGACAAAAAAAGACGGAAATTGTATTGATTAAAATTCAAATACGCAAAAATATGTAGTCGTACAAGTATACAGTTAAATTGTTATGTAACTTTGTTATCTAGAAAAATCATTAGTATAATAATATCAGTTGTCGTTTAAGAAACACGAAATTGAATTAAATTTAGTAAATAATCTGTAAAAAAGCAGGTTTCTGACGTCAATTAGAAATGACTAAGCAATAAGCATGCTTGCTTTTCAGCATAAACAAATTAAACACTAAAATAGAGAATAGCTTAAATCAAAGGAAAATACCTTTGAAAGGCAAACGTTGTTTTAAATCTATACTAATATTATAAAGGGGAAAGATTTTTTTTTTCGATATTTGTATGTATTAAAATAACTCAAAAACTACTGAACCGATTTCCAAAATTCTTGCACTATTAAAAAGCTAAGTTTTTAACGAGTAACGTATGTATATTTTTTACTATGTATCTAATTTCACGCGGGCGAAGTCGCGATCAACAACTAGTGAATTAATAAGCGGAAATTTAGTTGAAAAATAAAAAAGGGATGAGGTCAATAGGAATCTCAAATTATGGACTGATTCATATATGTTGCTTCCGGAATTGAGATAAATATGTGTTAACGTCATTAATATAGAAAATAGTGTGTTTGAAATGTTATGTTTTTAATTGATATCTAATATATTTATTTATGTTATGTAATTTTAAACATGACTAAGAAAAAGGTGTTAAAACCGGTCGCATTATTGTTAGGAAATCGACGATCTTATCTTTTGCTATGTCTATAGACAATTGGTATATTGGTGTTTTCGATGAGAATTTTGAGTATACGTTTATGACTATTGATATAATATTTCTTTAGCTATAAAATACAAAATGAAATGTTTAAATTGTAAACAGGACAACTGGGAAAACATGATTTTTCTGCATAAGAATCGTATGCAAAGTTTGCAGAAGGCCCAACTTTAGTCCCTTTTTCTGATGAGAAAAGGATGGGAAGGAAACGTGGATTTGACGGTGCAGGGAACGCATAGGAAGGGGAAATTCCTCCTTATATGCGTCTCCTCTGTCAATTAAGGGTAGGCTATGCATCTGCAAATTCGGATGTGGGCAGCGGTCCCTTCGCCAGTTTAGCGGATTCAAATGGCCGCTTGCTCGTTTGCCACTTTATGATATATGTAAAAAAACACTTACTCGAATAAGTTAATATACAGATTATGTTTAAAATAGTGAAACTATCTTAAAAGAAGTACTTATCGACTTTCGTTCTTAACTTTAGCAAAGTCAATAAATGAAAACATAAGTTTCCAGTAGATGTTATGTAAAGTAGTAACTATGAACTACTTAAAATTCTTATCTTAATATTCATCCATATACATATGTATTAATGTTCCCTTGCAAACTTCGTACCCATGACATTTAATTAAAATAGAAGACAGTCTAATTTTAGAAGACAGCCGACTCACGCAGTGCGTAAAGTCTAGAATATTGTCGCGAGAATAAGAAGCAAAAGTAAGATTTTTGGGTTTGGTCACGTTCAACACAGGCACCACCGCTTCCTGCTTGGTTGTGATCAGCGTTCTGGCTACAACACATCGTTGTTCATCTCTCAATTTTTCCACCAAAATGCTGCGTGGTGATCCTTTGCCTTGCTCTGGTAGCTTGATTTATGCCACTTAAATTTTAAGGCGTTTTGACTCTATCCCTCACGCTCGTAACAATATACTCTTACATATTTCATTTAATGTTGCATATTTTAACAGACTCAAGAGTAATCCAATTTAATAACATCGAATTTCCCTAATTTACTAATTTCGTAGAGTAGAAAGTAAACATTTTTTAAATTGCTTTCAGTTCACCTTTCTCCAGTATCGACACTTTAAATAATTTAGAAGCACTCCTAACAGTTACATTTAAAAGTTTGATGTGTCTTTTTAGGACTACAACATCGCTGACACTTTTCACTTCAAGATTTCTAATTACCTTAATTACTTAACGAAATCGAGACTAATACTAGTTTTAGTACTAGCGTTGTTCACTTCACTTTATCTATACTTAATATAATAAAGCGTAAACACACACTACTTCGTGGCGTAGGATGTCAGCAAGTACAGCATATTTTTGAAAAACTCTTTTTTAATAAAAAGCTCTACATTTACGTCACGCTTTAGGCTATATATTATCACGCCATTAAAATTAGGGGGTAAATGTTTTGGATGAAAACCCTAATGTGGGAAAGAGACCATAAGTTGCTGCCAACATTAAGAAAGCAAGATTATCAAGGTTTGTCATGTCATGTCATTTTGACATTTGCTATTGATAATTTGTCAAATGTAAACAAGTAAATAAAATTCTCATAATTTCATGTGGATGAAGCCGCACGGGAACATCTAGTAATGAAATAAAGTTTTTATAATTGCATGTCGATGCCGCACGGGAATAGCTAGTAATAAAAATTATACAATAACATACATTAATTCATACAAACACACACCAGACATTGAGTATTCTTAAGGAGTCTCGTGTGTGCCGCGGGTTAAGTTGTTAATATAATCTTGTTATTGCGTACGTGCCTCTGAATTAGCAGCGGTCTTAACTTAGAAATGTCAAAGCCGATATTAAAATTCCTTTCAATACAATACTCAGTAATCACAACGAAGGCAACAATGAGGGAATTTTGAACAACCTCTACTTTGTAGGCAATCCAACCTTAGCAACTGCAGATGTCAAAGCAATATTATTTTGCCGGTACAGAAACCTACGTAATACTTTCACAAGTATAGGAGTAATCGTGGAAAAAACGTATGAGAAAGTAAATCGTTGTCCGTTGTTTATTTCCACTTTGTAATAGTAATAGTTGTCGATAGAATTATAAAAGTCAAAGATCACGGCCATTGTACAGTGTAAAAGCAACACGTAGTTATTGAAACGTTGCTTTTATGAAATTATTATTGTCACAAGGAATCTCTAATTGATCACTAAGTGTACCTACAGCTGATTATAGTGTCTCTGAGTGGGGCAGACTTACTAAAGAACATACAATATGGATAGTTTTCAATATTAGCATAGACCTAGTTTCAAAACTGTCCAGTTAGATGAAACGTTAACTAGTACATTGTTAGTGGCAGTTCGTTAAAGGAATTACGAAGACTTATACTGACCTAGCGCCATTCTAATACTGTTAATATTAGTTCTCTAAGTCACGAATTAATATTAATTAGAAATGAAAAGTTGTCCTAATTGTTTTCACAATAAAATACCATATGGTACTGACAATTAATAACTGCCATATCTTTTCAGAAATCTCTTAATAAACGTTAGATCTAGAGGCCCCATCTTACCCTCAATTTTCACTACAGATATACGTGCATCAAAACATAAATCCTCCCTCTCATATCCGTGGAATAAAAACGAGATAACAATATATTTTCCAGATCTTTCACAGTGGAAAACAATGGTGACGATATTCTTTAATATTTTAGTCGATATTTTCGAAGTCAACAACTGTACAAATACTAAAACAATAGGATTGTTAGTTATGCTATCTACATAGAAGCCAATTTCGATACATTATAATATTCACAATGAAGGTAACATGATTCTCAGATCATTTAATTGTAATATGCATCTTGCAGATTTAATTGTAATATGAATTAACTGGCTGTTGCCCGCGAATTGGTCCGCTTGGTATTAGAAAACAGACGAACTTTGTAAATCACAAAAAACTAAGTTTCCCTCGGGATCCTGAGACTTTTCGCGGATGAACATTACTGTGTACTCCAGTCTTTGTTGTATATATATCTGTGCCAAATTTCAATATTTAAAAACTAAATTAATGAATCCCACGGGAACCGTAACTATTCCTGGGTTAAAAGTAGCCTATGTATTCTTCCAGACTATGCTCTAAACCTGTGCCAAATTTCACGGAGATCCGTTCAGCAGTTTAGGTTGCAAACGCTAACATCAACATATATGATAATGAAATGTCTATCGAGAAATAATTTCTAGAAACACTTTAATTCTGCATTCTTATAAAAAGAATGGTGATATTTAATTTGTCACCAACCAGTTTTAAAATGCATATACATTTGATTAATAACTGCATGTAGATATTAATGATAAATATCACGTGACGTCATATCTAAAGGACAATTGTGTGCGAATAGATTATGATCAGTTAATAAACTTGCTATCGGTATAACATTCTTTATAATATTTTAATCTATACTATTATAATAAAGCGAAAACACACACTTCTTTGTTGCCTAAGATGTCTTACTTACGTCACGCTTTAGGCTATACATTTTCACGTTATTAAACTTAGGGGTAAATACTTTGGATAAAAACCCTAATGTGAAAAAGAGACCATAAGTTGCTGCCAACATCAAGGAAGCAAGATTGCCAAAATTTGTAAAGTCATGTCATTTTGACATTTGTTATTGATAATTTGACAAATGTAAACAATAAAATAAAATTTTCATGATTTCATGCGGATGCAGCCGCACGGGAACAGCTAGTTTTGTATAAACTTAAATCAAATTTATCCTATTTTCCTTTTTTTTTAATTTGATCTGATACATTTACTAACATTTTAAAGACTAAATTATTGTTTTTGAACGAATTCATTTAGATATTTCGATAGGAATTGAACAAGAATTAAAATAATTGTAATTCAATTTCTCGTTTAGCTGTTTCTTGATATAAAATTGATAAAATGTGTAGTACTTAGAATGTGTAATGCTACGTTAGCGTATGATAGTGAAAGTTGAATTCGACATAAAAACCGTGGGAGTATACTTAATGCCATAGATATTACATACATGGCTTATGTACAGAAAATAAGAGTGAGATAGAATTATATCTATTCTATACATGTAATAAAATCGGATTGTCTGTTTGTAATATCAAAAATTTCCAGATTTCGGAAAGATGATGTATTTGCCTTGTTGATAAAATCGCATTTAATAATGTTTCGTTTGTCTGTCTGTCTGTCTGCAAGCATGCCGCGGTTGTTTCGGGTAATCTCCGAATTGGCTAAACCGATTTCGACCGGACTTTCACTGAAGGGTAGCTGATATAGACGGGCATATTATAGACTATTTTATTATTTTAATATTGCCAGGTCTAAGTCGCGAGCAACAGAAGTATTTGAAAATATACGAAGATACAATAAAAATCTCTTAACAAAATAAAACCACAAACTTTAGTTATATCTTATTAGATAATCGATTTGTTTTCCAACAGCATGATTTAGTAGAAAATATGACCTGTAATCGTCCACTGGTTTAATTGGTGATTACATTCTCGCGTGTAGTGACCTCATTAGTGTCGGTTTTTGCGAGGCTGTTGCCCTACTGACATTATGAACTGATTATAAAATATATTTCATACATAAATGCGCGTATTTCAGAAACATAAATATAGGTAGAGATGAAGAGTTTCCATTTGTAGAGGTCTTACGAATTCCAGTCTAGTGTTTTTCTAAATCTATGGATAATCTGGGAATCGGTTAACAAAGTTACAGTCGTTTGAATGATTTGTATATATTAAGACCACACGCAGATCGCAAACCAATAGAACGCATATATACGAATAAAGGTCGGTCAAATACACTAATTTCTTTTTATTATTATCCCATCTGCGCAACTCACTGTTAACTGTTTTTTTAATAAGAGTTTGTCACGTTGCAAGGAACAAAGCGATATTTTTCTGTAATGGCAACACCGCGGATTTCCGCGGCTGTACCAACGAATACGTACTATTCGGGCGGTACTCTAATGACTTGTTATATAGAAGAGATAATCTAATAGTTAGATCTGACATCATTTTGTTACAAGTGAAATAAAAAGTATTCAATTATACTTCGTTGGTGGGATTCTATCCATGGGAAAGGTTTTCTTTACAACAAAACAATGTCTTATTACAATTGTATATAATTGATAACAGTCTAACAATCGAGATGGATTTTTAATATCAGACCATCTACCAACTTTAATGTACTTTGACAGCCCGAACAAACCTTTACTCTCAGAGCAAGTACACGCCTTTGACTAAACCATGGCACATTTAACAGTGGTAGTGCCCGCTTTTAACATCTTAGCACTGCAGGGCCGGCACGCCAGGTGTAATACCACGACCACATAAGACAGCCGTGAAATGGAAGCAATTCCGTGTTAAGTCTGATGAGTGTGGTGCCGGAGGCCTAATTTAAGTCCCTTTCTCTTTACCACCCTTTTCTTATAAGGAGAGAATGGGAAGGGGATGTGGATTTGACGGTGGAGGAGATGCATATGAAGGGGCATTATCCTCTTTATGTGCGTCTCCTCCTTCGTTGGATAAGGGTAGGCAACGCATCTGCGATCGCGGATGTCTATGGGCAGCGGTCGCTTCGCCATTTTGGCGGATTCAGGATGCCGCTTGCTCGTTTGCCACCTTATGTTATATAAAAAAAAACAATGGATATGCGATTGTCGATTGATTTGCAGCCAGTTCAACTGTTTGGTTGCATAGCTAAAAATCGTATAGTGTTCGCACCTCCATGTTAGCTCATAGGAATCAAAGCGAGACTAAACATTCGTGCGATAGTTTAGTCAAAGGTGCACACCTTTTGTGTGAAATTACTCATTCCGATGTCGAGATATCCAATGTACTTATATGGTACTAATGTAAATAATATGTTTTGTTATTAGGAACATACAGATAAAGACAAATGACGGCCGATGTGAATTATTTTAACATTGACAATGTGTTATGAAATACTGGAAACATCGAAAATGACTTGATTGCATATATCGTACTTATTTAAATATTTAAGAAGTAACACTCAGAATTAAGTAAAACCTACTTTTATACGATCGCCTTATGGGTGGTTTGATTTACTTAAGAAAGCAAAAGCTAATAATTTTATGTTAGTTATAACTCTATTTTTGTTATTGTATACAAATAGGGCTTGCTTTTCTTTGTTTAAATACAGTTGATAACGTATATCCTGCAGTTTTATCGTTTTAACCTAACCTAAGTATTATATTAAACGAGCTGTTGCCCGCGACTTCGTCCGCGTGGTATTAGACAACATACAAACTGTATAAATTATAAAAATATACGTAAGCCGGGAATCGGACATTTCTCGGGGATGAAGCATATCCCATGTGTACTCCAGCCTTTGTTTTATATCTGTGCCAAATTTCAATAAGATATGTTGAACCGTTGCAGAATGACTGAGTAAACATTAAAAAAACTATATTATTTAATCCCACGGGAACCGTAACTATTCCCGGGATAAAAAGTAGCCTATGTGTTCTTCCAGACTATACTCTAAACCTGTGCCAAATTTCATGTAGATCCGTTCAGCCGTTTAGGCTACAAACGCTAACAAACATCCATCCATCCATCTAAACTTTTGCATTTATAATATTAGTATGATTAGTAAAATAAAATAAAGTAAAATATAAAGTAAAATATATATAAAGTAAAATCACATTATAAGCCCTATTCTTTTTTTTTAGCATCCTTACTTAAATTCGTACCACGTACGCAGAGGGTTTGTTTTTTTTAACTGTTATACACTATTACCTGACTTTTAGTCTAAATTTAGTCACACTAGAAAGTAGCGCGTCTGCATAAGTACTTCTATGATGAGACTCTGTTACCCTCTTTACTTGTTAATTTGTTTATTTCACGTATTTTTTTTTAACAAAAATGTCGCAGATTTATGTAAACAGTGAAAGGATTTTTATTAGGTAAAAGGAATGTCTATTTTGATTTATTTCGTTAGTTAAAAGTATTTTATAAGATAATGAAACCTTATTCTGATCCTCGAAGAAGTTTAACGTAATAATGTAAAAGGCAAGAAAGTTATTTAAAATTTATTCATAAGTGCATTGTACAAAAATCGCGACTGATTTTTGCTTTGTGCAAATACTCTTATAACTATGTTATTGTTGATGGAAGGAATTTTCATATTCCTAATCCCGAATTCGTATAATTAAATCAGTTTGTATTCGTTTACAGATTTTGCGACAGAAATGCAATTTACACGTACTGCGGAATCGTGCTCGTCGCGATTAACCCTTACTATGACCTGCCTATTTATGGTAAGTTTTTTTTTTATCATCATGTCCACAATGCCAGATTAATAAAATTCGGGGGAGTCCCGTTGTCATAGATCAAGGCATCATAGATTAGATAGTTACAAATGTTCAGTTCTTTCAAATTGCATCCATTATAATGGATTAAAATATTTTCTTTTATAAATTGACTAGCTTTCACCCGCGACTCCGTCCGCGTGGTAATAAAAAAACAAAAGTAAGTAGCCTATGTGTTCTTCCATACTCTGCTCTACATCTATGCCAAATTTCATTCAGATCCGTTCAGTTGTTTAGGCTACAAACTCTCACAAACATCCATCCATCCGTCTATTGACTAGTAAGAATATTACTATGACTTTAGAAAGAAATGGTCGAGCTTGTTTTGGGAGAATTTCTTCTCTCCCAGACATGAGATATTAGAATGAACTTGTCGGATTTACGTCCAGTATTCTAGTTATTTTTATACACTATAGTTTCTCATAAACTAGATTATTTAGCGTATAAACAATGATTATTGTTCATGTGATGCAGAACGGTCTCAGTTGATAGCATTTATTATGTAACTGAAGTATTTTACGTTTTGTAGGCGATGAAACGATAATGATGTATCGAGGCCAGGCTATGGGAGACCTGGACCCTCATATATTCGCCGTCTCAGAGGAGGCGTACACGAAACTAGAGAGGGAAAGGCGAGATCAAAGTATTATTGGTGAGTATTTGATAAGATAATAGTTTTTAAAATTTTATTTTAAAGATATACAGTCTTACAAGTAAACGCGGTATAAAGTTCTACTTAGGAATAAACGGAATATAAGCAAATATTAGTACAAATTTTGCTTACACTCAGTTTATTCATATATTAACTTTATACCGCGTTTATTTATAAGGCTGCTAAAGTTCAAAACGGTATAGTTAAATGCCTATAACTTGCCTACGTGTCTTGAGTTCAGGCAAATCCTATATTATTGTAGTCGCCTAGTTTCCAATAAATGCGAGGGTGTAAACAGTTTTTTGATCTGTAAATATATTTATTAACTGCCACACAAAATCCCTTAAAACAGTAAGGCTGCTAAGCGTCTGCTAATGTAAATTATCTTTGTTTTTCAGTAAGTGGAGAGTCAGGTGCGGGTAAGACAGTATCAGCTAAATACGCGATGAGGTATTTCGCAGCTGTCGGCGGTAATGCCAGTGAGACACAAGTTGAACGGAAAGTCCTAGCCTCCAGTCCTATTATGGAGGTAAGTTTATTGCAGTACATACGATGACGTCATTTGTAGATAATATTGGACTTTAAACTTTTTAAAAGTATGGATGGAGTGTGAAAGAGGCTTAAGAAAGGAGTGAATTCAGATATGACGGCTGACAGATGTATGGAAGAGCAGTATATTGTGCCGACCCTCTATAAGGGATAAGGGCAAATTGATGATGATTGGACTTTTAAACTGTAAGGCAAAGGGTTAGTTGACTGAGTATTCAATACTTCAAAAATATAAGACACTAAGCACTTATTTACACATAACTGTTAACTTAATTAAGAAATTAAGGAGTAAAAGGTGAATAAATGTAAACTAGTACCATCGTTATTAATCAGCTTTATTTATATTTACAGAAAATATACAATTTATTATCCCTTACATTTTTTACGTTCTTTTCCTTCTTCTGTCACATCTTGGACACTTTTTTCTAAATAGATGTCTTGGCGGCCAATATGCAACCTCTTTGGCTGTATTTATAATTCTTGTCAGCAAAAGAGGTTGTATTTGCACTAAACAAAAGGTTAGAATGGTATGGGCATGTTATGAGGAGGGTAAATCGCATGACAAGAAAGACATTAGTTATGAGTGTGGGACACTAGTAGAGGAAGACGTAGAGATGGATGGATTGCATGAAAGGTGACAACCAAGAAGTAAGTGACTGAGATGACGGATGATAGAGTTATTTGGAGGATGAAAACCTGGTGCGTTAACAATACGGGGGTAGGATAAGGTAGGGGTTTTCATAGACTAAGTGAATGCTTTAATAACTGAAATGTTCGTAGTCAATCGGCAACGCGAAGACTACCCGTAACGACAACTCGTCCCGCTTCGGTAAATTCATTGAGATCCACTTCGATGAGTTTTACCGTATTTCTGGCGCTAGTATGAGGACTTACTTGCTGGAGAAGTCACGTGTCGTGTACCAGAGCGCCGGCGAGAGGAATTATCATATATTCTACCAGCTCTGTGCAGCCAGTGTTAATATGCCTGAACTACAATTAGGTAACCAGAACTATATTTGTGATATTGTTGTCTCTATTTTTTCTAAGAGAGTGAGAGAGTAAAGTTTACAGTAAAATTAACAATTGAACATTATTATCTCAGTTTCTTTAACAGCGGACGCACATGTTTGACTAAACAATCGCACAACTGTTCGAAGCCAAATCAACTGTTCAGTTGCACAACTAAAATAGTAGTGTGCGCACCTCCATATAAGCTCATAGGAATCAAAGTGCGACTAAACGGTTGTGCGATAGTTTATTCAAATGCGCGCTCTCACTGTTACTAATTAATTCTTTTCTATTTGTAGATAGTAAGTAGGTTTCATAATTTTGTTATTAATTTTAATCAAAATACGCAGACCACCAGGATTCATTTCAATACCTGAACCAAGGAGGCAGCCCCAACATTGATGGAGTGGATGATCTCAGAACGTTCAACGAGACCAGAAACGCTCTTACTACCTTAGGTAATAAAATAATCTGCAAAAAATCTGCAAAAACTTACCAGAACTCATTTTTCACATATTTACTTTTTGTTTTTCTATTTTAAAATTTTAGGCAAATTCCAGCACATTTAAAGTTAGTCAATTCTAATAATGACCAAGTCAATTTTGCTAAAAATGTTAACTCTGTTTCTTTGTATGTCTGTTTAGGTGTGTCGGAGACGGAGCAGGCGAACATGTTCACTGTGCTGGCGACTGTCTTGCACCTGGGGAACATCCAGCTGTACGACTGCGACCCTGACGCTGGTCCGCAAGAGGATGGTGCTGACGGTGCTCATATCAGTGTGAGTCTAAGTGTCTATACTAGAATTACCCTACTTTCATTTTAATGTTTGTGACTTCCGTTTGTAATTTAAAAGAAACTTGTAAACTATGGTCTATATGTGTTAAATTAGATTCGTTAAGCTGTTTTGGAGATACCTCGTAGTAATACATCCATCCAAACTTATCCATTTACAATATCAGAATGAATTTATAATAATAATACGCCACAACAATTAATTTTCTCTAAAAGACAATTATAATTTACTTACACCTTCTAAAATACTGTAAAACAAGAGTAATGAAAATAATTTACAAGATACCAGAGAACAATTCATTTGTTTTTAATGACTTTTATAGTTTTCACAACCCTAAATATTAGTACTAGAAAAAAATCTTATATGTCCGCAGAAGTAGGAATTTAAAAATAAACGCCTAAAAGTGGGAATTGATTATAAAAATATTACTTTTTAATATAGTAAATACTTAATGACAACAATTTAATAGTGAAACAGCTATTTAATAGTGAAAGAATATTGAATTCGCTCTAATAGTTTACGAGTTATTTTAATACATAAAGAAATCCAAAAGTACAAATATCTTCTCTTTATAATATTAGTATAGATTAAGTATAGTAAATACTAAATAATAGTAACCTAGGTTACTGACTGAGATTGTAGCTTTTTAATAATGCCAGATTTTTTTAAAACGGTCTGATAATTTTTGAATAAAGTAACAAATATACAAATCTTCGAATCACTTTACTATGGATTTACTTTTGTATGAGCTACCTATTTGTAATTTCCAGTCAAATGACAAACACTTGCACATAGTGTGCTCGCTACTGGGCATATCTAAAGCGGAGTTGTCCCGCTGGCTGACGCACCGGCGCATCGCGTCCGCGCACGAGGTCATCGTGTCGCGTATGGACGTGCAGCGCGCGGCGTTCGCACGCGACGCGCTCGCCAAGCGAATGTACGGCGAACTGTTCGCCTGGCTCGTGCGTGCGGTCAACCGCGCGCTCGACACCGGACATGCTAAGAAACATTTCATTGGTTAGTGTTTGCGTAAATAAATAGTCTATGTTATTCACAGATAAATTACCTTTCTAATGTTGAAAGATTTTTTGAAATCGGATCAGTAGTTTTGGAGTTATTTGAATACATACAAAAATACAAATCTTTCCTCTTTATAATGTTAGTATAGGTCTGAGTTGGATTCGAAATAGCGAAGTGATTGTTTAACTTAGACATCTGTATTTGCAATGTTATTATAACAGTAAAGCTTTGTCTATTTCAAGCTGTTACAATTTCGAGAAATATCTGAAACTTACAATTACATCAGCAATGATAAATGAAAAAACTTAGCAAGTACCTTATTTGTTCTTCAAGACTATGTTCTAATTCTTTGACATCATCGAAATGCGTAAATTCGTTTTGGAGATACGTAGTAACATCCATCCATCCTTACTTTCGCATTTATAATCAAGATAGCAGTAGAAATAGAAGCACAATTTTAGTATGACTTAGAATATTGTAACTCGTGTAATTTACTTATTTTTAGGTGTCCTGGACATTTACGGTTTCGAAACGTTCGAGATAAACTCGTTCGAGCAGTTTTGCATCAACTACGCCAATGAAAAACTGCAGCAACAATTCAACTCGCACGTCTTCAAATTGGAACAGGACGAATACATAAAGGTAAACACTGAAGAAATATAGTAACTCTTATAGTATTTTTAAGACAAAAATATTTTTCCACTGATTTGTATAAATGGATAGGATTCTTGGTATTATCTTAAACATGCCTGTTTTTAATGACAGTTAATTCTATGTCTATTATTATTTTAAATTATCCTAATTATATGGGTCAGCGTTAAGAATCAAAATAAAATAGGCACAAAACCGTTTTATAGCCTATCTATTTATAGAAATCAGTGGTTTTTAATTAGAATTCTAACTGTTACAATATGAAGATCCTGTATTATAAATGTAATTTTATCAAAATTAAGTTTCTCAGTTATTGATTGGTCTATAGGAAGAGATATCTTGGAAGATGATCGACTTCTACGACAACCAGCCGTGCATTGACCTGATAGAGGAGCGTCTGGGCGTGCTGGCGCTGCTGGACGAGGAGTGCCGCGTGCCGCAGGGCTCCGACGCCGGCTTCGTCGCCAAGCTGCACCAGAACTGCACCAAGTACCCGCACTTTATGAAGCCCAGGTTCGGCAACGCCGGTATGTACTTTTACTTACCCTTATTGTAATTCCTCTCTTGTAGACTTTCAGCTACGGTATTATTGATTGTTACACTCAGAGATATTATAGATAATTTAGTGTAGATTTACGGTGAAATCCGCTATATATATACTAATATCATAAAGAGGTAAGTATTTTTGGATTTTTTATGTGTTGAAATAATACAAAAACTTGTGGGCCGATTTCAAAAAATGTTTCACCATTTTTAAACTACGTTATCTCCAAATAACATAGGCCATTTTTTTAAATATTACATAATTTCACGCGGACGGAGTCACGAGCAACAGCTAGTGTCATATCATTAGAAATTATTGATTTGTCTTTTGTAACATTAGTGGTCAACAATCTGAAACAATTTGGAAAAAGCTAATTACTCATTTTAACTAAGGTCCTATATTTATTTATTTTTACAGTGGGCTTTGTAATCAAGTGTTACTTTCCATGTTTAGTTAAAGGGTTACTGATATCACAATTTGGACGTTCCAGCATTCATAATAAAGCACTTCGCGGACAACGTGGAGTACCAATGCGGGGGTTTCTTGGAGAAGAACCGCGACACGGTGTCGGAGGAGCAGCTGGAGTGCATCAAGTCGGCCACCAGCTGCCGCCTCATACACACCATGTTCGCGGAGGAGCGCGCGGAGCACGCCACCGCCACGCTGCCCCCGCCCTCGCGCCGCAGGACCACGCCTTCCCTACATATCGCCAGTTTAACGGTATGTACAAACAGAATAATATATAAACACACGGTTAGTACCGTGGTGAGAATTGGCGCAACACTAGATTATCGGTATAAACGTCACATCTCTAACTGACAGCTGTCAATGTCTTTAGGATGGATTTTCGCGCGCATTCCTGACGACATCTCTAGTAGAGTGTTTAAATTAATATCGATAGTTACAATTATATTGATTCTTTAAAAATACAAACCGAATAATATTATAAAAATATGTTTAATAGTCATTAAGGCATAATTATGTGCGAGTATAAATATATAATAAGAAATCACTAGATTGTCAATAAATTATTCAAAGTGTGGTTTTATGTAGGAATTTTAATACTAAAGAAAACTTATTTGATTATAGAGCTTAACTAGTCTTATTCGTTTTAGCCAAATGTACAGTCAGGGATCTTGGCGGTGTTGCATTTTAGAAAAAATGTTTTTTTCCTACGAGACTAATACCACCTTTTTTTTTGAAGATATTCAGTGATTTTCGTATTATTATGTATTCTGTGGTAATATTAAATTGTCCATGTACCATTGACGGACAGATTTATTTTCTGTTACATTTCGAACAAAACGATTATAGTTAAAGTTACATCGCCAAGTTCCCGTATTCCCTTGTACTTCCGTATATCGTGTCGTATCCGTACAGCAACCGCCGCGTCGAGCATCAGGTCAGAAGCAGACAGTGGGTGCTCAGTTCCGAGCCTCGCTGTCAGCGCTGATGAGCACGCTGTCGGCCACCACTCCTCACTATGTGCGCTGCATCAAGCCCAACGACACTAAGCAGCCGTTCAGCTTCGACCCAGCACGCGCTGTACACCAGCTCAGGTGAATATCTCCCCTATTTTATCCTACTCCCGTAGGGCGCACCGCGATCCCTCCAAATACAGATTTAGAGGGAGGGAGAGAGGGAGATAGACAACATACATCAACTCAGTCATCACTCTCCTTCTTGGTCACATCACCTTTCATGCAATTCATCCATCTTTTTCTACTCTACTGATGTACTATATTCAAACTAACGTCCTTTTTCTATGTATACCAATATTGTTGAGAAGAAAATCTGACAACACTAGAACATCGGCATACACATCCCATCCCTATGACATCTGTCAATGTCACTTAGACATATTGGAATAGCTCCCCATTCTGGTAAGATTAGTAGCTCTGAATGTTAATTACGTTAATACAATTAAAATAATATGAATGAAACAGCGGTTCAAGTCAGTAGTCAGATGTTATCGATAAACAGACCCAATAAGAAAAAAAATCAAATTGGATTGATTACTAGGATGGGCCCCAGAAACACCCCTGTATAT